AGGGTGTCCACAAAGTTCGTTGGCCATTCGTTTTTTGCAGAGCTTATGAAGATAACTCACCAAGTTGAACTTACCGGTCCATGATATAATCTCCATGCATACCCACCACCTTTCGCCAACGATCGGGTAGAGAGGCAACTCCATCCTCTCAGAAGCCGGCCAGCCGCGACTCGCCCAAGTCCTCGATCACGTCCTCGAGGTCGCGCTCGTTCTTCAGCTGTTTTTTCCGCTCCAGGAAGGTCGCATTGGACCGGAGATGTGGTAATCGCATAGACTTGATGGTCCGGCTATATGAAGGGATCTTGCACGTGAACGTTGTGGCCCAGCCTGTCCAGGACGGCCTGAGTATCTCTCGCTTTGTGGGGGCGCGTCTCAGAGCAACCACGGATTTGCAAGTTTCTGGGACAAGGCGGCAGCTTTCACCTTGACCTCCTGTAATTCTTTAGAGAGGGTCTCTGCCGTCACTGTGGCATTGTTGGGTAGGGTGCTATAGTGGACGACGCCGTGACGAGAGAACCAGAAACCTCGGCATATCTTCGATGCCATAGTTTCCATTGGTGAAGCGAGTCCCCATTTTGACATCCAGTTCTTAGAAGGGGTGTTATCACCTGACGTCTGGAGATGTCCAGATTGTAGTAGTCCAGCAACTATCACTCATCTTCACTGCTTTATTGTGGAAAGATCAGGAAAGGAAATTTAGAGCTAGCTAGCTCAGAAGATAGCCCATCGCGAGTACTTTCAGTATTGCGAAATCATTATGCAAAATCACAACGCGTTGCGTAACGCGACGCTGTTTACAAATGGCCAACGAACTTTGTGGACACCCTAATACTACCCCAGTTTTCTGGAAACAGGCCGGATTTTTTCTACGGCGGCAGATTCGGCTGAAAGTTGAGTTCTAGGGGTAGTTCGACCTCCTGAACACAGGATATGTGACAAGAGGATCGTAATTCGCCGCGCTGATGAGGCGTCGCGTGCGACGTCGCGCCGCAAATGACGATGGTTCCAGGTCGTAGATGGCGACAACAGGCAATTCAGAACCGAAAATAGTCATGAATGTCTACGATGACGGGGTCTACATGAAGTCCGGTGCTCCAGTCGACAGGTTAACACGAGTTAAGAAAACGCCGCGCCGATCGCTGCGCGCGGCGGAGCGGCAAATTACGATCCTCTTGCCCGTCTCCCCTGAACACAAATATCACATCCGCTCGGTCTGAAACCACCTAGAGCCCGCGCTACAGGCGCCGGCGCCGTATTGGCGTCAAATGGCGCCATCGCTGAGAACTAATGCGGTATTCGTGATCAGGACATCAAATAACCCTACTATGCAACTTTACGTCGAATTTGGTGAGAAATGCGGCAGCGCCAAATTGGCGCAGCGCCAAATTGGCGCCAACGCCGTAAAGAGTGCTATATTCGTGATCAGGACACCGAACTACCCCAGCGGGCAAAGTTTCAGCGAAAAAAATTTGAATCCTTGGGGTAGTAATAGTTGAATAGTGCCAGAAGTACTCCCCACACACGGTACAGTTACAGTTCTCCACCAGTTCAGAGAGAAAGCGGTGATGAATTTTTTTAATTTTGAACGAAATCCTGTCCACGTGTTCTGTGCAAAATTACCCGATATGGTCAGCACCCATGATTATGATCTACCAACACGTGGCATTCCGCACGAAAAACAGCCAGTTGTCGCTTTCTTGTTCTGTCGTAATGTTGTGCCCGAAGCTGGCGTATCCGTTGAGGGAAATCAGAGAACTAGGTAAATTGGCCAAACAGAAGCGTTTTAGGGACTCATATGAAGTGTTTTGAATAAAAGCAAAAATTTTCGAGAGTCAAGGATTCCAACATGCGACCTCGTGTCTCTGAAGCCGTGCGCTTATCCACTAGGCCATCGGCCGCTTGCCGCATGCAGTTATCGTTCTCAACTTGTGCGAACAGAGCAAAGATTAAATGGTCCGTAACTCCCTTCAGAGAATCGTTCCGCAAATTCCGAGGGCAGATTTGGATTCAGCGGCTCAAGACACGTCCATATATATACATCTCATTGCAAATGGCCGGATCGACCTGTTGGGGTTCCCTTGTAAGTCGAATATTGCTAGGCAACGATGAAGAACAACCATGTTATGCCTTTCAATTTCCCTCAGTTCGAATAATGGTTTACATTCGATCGCTTGCTGACAGACCAAGGAACAAACTTTGGTCTCTTCTTTCTGCTTCAGAAAATGCTCTTGGAACAGTACAAGGCACCAACCATTCATCTATGACTGTTCGACAGGCCACATGATCTTCTGAACATCTCCCAGATAGACCAGATGTTAATGAGTGGTAAGGGCGGATAGAAAAATAAATACTGGTATGGTAAAAATGTAGGTTCAATATTACCCGTCAACGGAGACATATTAACTCTACTGAACATTACTAAGCAAACTTTTTTGAACTTGAACTTTTCCGCAGAGGATTCCTTCCTCTCTGAAAAGCTTACATAAATGGTCCCGTCAGAATTGATAGCGGCTGGAAAAACTCTGCTGTAGCATACAGTCGCGCATGTACCATTACTTTCTTTCCACCCTAAATGTACATTAAATGGGAAACACCATTACGCCTAACCCAATTAGCCATCTCATCCGCAAAGATCCTCAATCCTCAAGGGGTCTGTATTTGATCTGATGATTTTTTTTATTTATTTTCGTTTTTTCCCGCTTCAAAGTAGGCGATCCTTACTCCCCATCCGCTCCTCTCTTGAAGGAGCGGTCCACGATGACCTACGAAAATGCAAGAGGTTATGTGGGAAGGTAGTGCGGTCCGGACTGGACAACCCTGTGCCAGTTTCGCGGCGGAAAGTTGTACGGTAAAGGGATTAAGGCGCAAAGTTGCTTCAGTGGTACATCCCTTTTTCCAGTGACTCCGCCTCCAGACTCCGCCTCCAAAGTAATGTTCCCGGGCAAGTATCATGGGGTGGATGCATTCATTGTCTCTTGTAGAATCATAGGATTCATTACTGAGAATCAGCAAAGCGGGAAACTTCAGCACAGTTGTTTGAGGCTAGAGGAGCGCGTTTCCAACGTTCCCTTTGGCATTTTCTCTTCATAGATGGTTCACTTGGCGAATTTTTCCACATTTCTGCAAAATCACCTAGGCTTTTTATCGCGACCGTGCCTTTAACCACTGATGTCTCGACGTGACTGATAGATGATCAAATGCTTATTCTCACCTCTTCAGCCGTTGAATCGCGATTTTACCAATAGTATAGTTTACACTGGGGCGGAGCCTTCTGTCCTCCGGGGATGGTAAATTAATGGTAAATCCCACGATTATCCGCCATCACAGATAGTGGATCATCTAGAGGACAAGGTGTCGAGTAACCCGATAATTACTGAAGAAAAAAGCAGAAAAAACATGCCCACTGCCCTAAAGCGGGCCTAGAGCCCCATTCTGACCCCAGTTTGTACGTGCTCAATTATTCCTGTAACATTACGCCCTCATCCGCACAGCTGATTCCCCGATAAGAACTCTACGACCGTACAAGTGACGATTTTCATGCTTTTTCGTCCTGCAGCTTCGTTTTTCACTGAAAGGCGGCCTTGAAGGCGGAGTCTGGAGGCGGAGTCACTGGAAAAAGGAGGCGTCACTGAACCTATATTGCGCTATAGCGCCCCTCCCTTACAATTTTTTGCCGCGAAACCGGTACAAGGTTGTTCGTCGCGGACCACACTACCCTCCCGATGCCATATTTTCAACTTCTATACCTGATCGCGGACCGCACCTTTAATACCAGACCGTTTGGGAGGACAAGAACACTGACTTGTAGATGGCTGGCCCCCGCAAGTCATTGTATAGGCCACATCGCATTCAATAAGCCACTACGATTCTGAATGGAAGTAGAATGCGTGCCGCATCCCGGAAGGGATTGATCAACGGCGAAGACTTTATCCTTTTTTATAGCGTACTCTGTACCACACTATACTTTTTGATTCCTCCACTCTGTTAAGAATTTCATCGGTGGGAATCGTACCAAAGAACAATTGTGGGGCAGACCGTATGAGGGAAAACTTTCAGAACTTAATTTTCCTAACTAAATGTCAAGTTACTAGAACAACGTAAACACGGATGTAACAGGACATATACCACTCAGGGCAGGGTGTACCTTGAGCATCCCTAGCGAGGGGCATTTGCCAAAGCGGAGAGAGGGGAGATAGGGACCTACTGACCTCGAGAAACATTTTTGTGGTTGTTGACTTTCCTCAGTTTTAGAACTGTACCTCCCCCCCCCATCCCTGTTCGATGCCAGTGTTGTGGGGCAAGGGTGGATAAATTGTCAGAAAAACTTCTAGGAAAGTGATAGGGGGTCGGGGGAATCCAGGAAAATGGTAGGCAGGATGGGGGAGGGGGTCCTACCAAATGACGAATTTTTGGAGGGCTCTATTTTGCAAGATTTTTCCTTAACGGCAAGACGTATCCCGATAGTATCTGACGTTGAATTTGTACCTATAAAGGCGCCCCGATTATTTTAAGGTGAGCGGGCAGGGGATCCCAATGTCGGCTTCACCGCCTTTGCAGTATTTACATCAGGACCTATATCACTTCGTGTGAAAAGCTGCAGTAAGCCTATTGAACCAGCGGCTAGAAAAGTGGCTGGCACTGGGCTAGTTTTTGTCACTTGCCGCTTCTCGGATCTCCTGACCCACCTATGTTGCTATCGAAGCTTCAGCAACAGCCGATTTTTACTAGTCTTGATGCCACGGTACGGATTGGGAAATGACAGGGAACATAGCGAATTACCCGAAGCTTTAATAGAGTGAAATCGACACGTGTTTTAAATCCGACAATAAATAATGATACTTGAGAATAAATCACGATAGCGAATAATATCAACACAGATTGACGTCAAAGCTTTGACGTTAAAACCATGCTATGATTTAGAGCAGAGTTCCGTCTGGAGGGACACTACAAACCATAGCGAATAAATCAAATGTTCAAGTGATTTTGGCAATCTGAAAGAACTAATGAAGCAACACTGATCCAGCAGTAAGCAGCATTATTTCTTCTGCTTCTGGTGGCGCTGTGGAGAGAACTGCTCTCGCATGGATTGCCTGAAGTACTGTAGATGTACAAGGTTCTCGAAAGGCCGAAAAAAGAACCGTACTTCCTTTTCCCATTTTGAAAAACGCGATCTATCACAGCTGTTTTGTGAGCGGCTTGCTCTAGTTTTCAATCGCTCTATGACTTCAAGCATCTCATGGTCATCTTGCGGTTCTGGAGACATTGGCTCCGTCTTTATGACGACATCATTGCTCGCGCTCCTGTAATTCATAAATAAAACGAACTACGGAAACATTAGTAAGCAAACAAACAAGTAAACTAACGAAAGAATGATATTTTTATTTTATTTCACATGGCACCGTTTTTTGATAATGTGGCTGTATATGATCGTCACCTAATCGAAAATGCGAGTGGCCTAAGTCTATGACCCATACTGGTTCTATGGACCGGAGAGGGGGACCAGCGCGAACAAGTCGGACCATCAATTAATTTTTGACTGAGAGTGTTCTTTTTTCCTAACGTGCGATAATAGAAGCCGGTGAACAAGGCACAATAGTACGCCCCACCCCTGCCCATATGACTAGCGCGGACTGTCGGTCAGCGATGAAAAGGGCATGCCAGAATATGCGGAATAAAGAAGATTATGAGGAAATAAAATCGCAAGCATTCCAGTGGAGGAGTTAGGACCCCTTCTAGCTTTTGTTGATGGGCGGTGAGCACGAAGCGGCGAGCGCATTCAGCCTCTTTGACGTAAACGTTGCGCATAAAAGCGGCCAGCACGGACATCTTGAGGCGGAGCTGCGCATCGACTCCTAAACATCATAAATTCAAATTGGGCAGCTGAAGAAACTCTAGAAGGATCTAGTCACACTTCATATTCCTGAGATGTGCTGGGCGTAGCTACGCACATCATTTGGAGGTGGCTGCGGCCGCGCTTATTGGCTCGGATGCTGACCTTTTGTCATAATTTGTAAGCTAATTTTTTCCAACATAAGACAGGATGACAGTTTTTTCAATTGGGCAATATCCCACAAAAACGTATCCGATGCCACGTAAGTGCAGTCACGCCTTCCCCAACTCCTAGATATGGAGTGCGAGTGCTGCTAGGCAGGCCTTTCGATATCGTTGTCTTCTTTAACGACTTGTTCCGCCTGCTTCTCCCACTATGCCTATCAATATAATGCGCACAAGACTTTTATCCCCCTGCCCCTACCTCAGCGCTATTTCTTCTATATTAGGAATGACAGAGAAGGCTTCTCCATTCCGGCACACTATTAAAAAACTACATTGAGTAGCTACAGTTTTGTTCACTGATGGATGATGGGGCGTCTAAAGGGGGATGGGTTTGGCGCGACGCCGCCCATTTCTTTTCTCTAGTGATTATTGTCGTTATCCTCTTCAATAACTGATCAAAAAAATTTCTGGCAGGCCAAAACCATCCCGTCATCCGCAGCGAAAAAGGCTATACGTAGAGGCGTGCAGGCTTCACGGAATCATTTAAAGTGCAGCCGGCGCGATTCATTTGTTGTTCACACTCCCTTACGGACCTAGTAGCTTCCCCTATGGTCAGGATGGCGGGCTGTGGACGTGCATGTTTCGCAACCCAAAAATGCGACGGAACAGCGGCGTCCGCCCGCAAAGAGCCGACGGCTCCGCCCACCTGCCGACCACGCCACCCAACTTCATTTCTAATGGTTGCCTGATGGTGCGGTTGTTCCATTGCTGCTTCTCTCTCCAGCGTGAGTGGTGAGAGTGAGAGTGATAAGGAAACGCGATATGAACAAGTGGAAACTCGTGCAATCACTCCTTCTCTTCGCCTTAAGCACGTACAACCGTTGTTCGGTATGAAACTCCTTCTAGGGCATTTTGCGTGTTTTCTCTTCGATTTTTCTTCACTAATAGGCTTCTTGCTACCTCGACTATTTACTTACCTGAAGCCGCCATATCATTAATATTGACGCGGGCGCTGTCTTTAATGATGCAAAGAAAACGCATGCGAAAACTCACTGCCCCGGACTATCGCCTCCTTCGTCATTAACTTCGCTTTTTCTTGGTCGCTTACACGACTCCTCCAACCTCTCGTCTTCACTGTGGTCACTTCTCCTCCTTCGACTGCGTGACCTGTAACTACCGGTGCTCCTGTCCTTTCTCCTGAACATGTTTTCCCCATGAAGTAAAGAATCGCATTTTTCCAAGGCATTGCCTCGAATGACGACCGCGCCTTTCGGTTGAGTAGGAACGTCCACTAGTCGAGCAGGATGATGTGTCTTTGGTGCACCGCCGAGCACGGATGCCTTGACTTCGTCTACGGGACGGATTAGAACGTGCTCCAATCGTCTGTGCTGGCACGATTACGCCGCATTACTTTACTGGGCATCGCATCGCTTCGCCTTCCATTTCCACTGCGTTTTCTCCTTCGCTCTTCTAATAAGGTGGACGCCAAAGTCATGTGGGTCACCGACACTGTGATGCCCAAAAACTTTCGGCGCCGGTTTTTATTCGCGTCTAAGGAAGGAGGAGAACCTTTTCAGAGGTACCATCCGGCTTCCAAACGGTTCTGGTTTCCATATGAATACGAGATTCTTGAGAGTGACTATCGTAGCGACAGTTCATTTCAGCTTCAAGACTGATACGTGGGTCTGTGGGATGACTTACTGGGCATCCTACCCATTCGCTGTTACTGCTGCTCGGGCTGCATCATATCGTTACTTACCTATAACAAATTCAGATTACTCATAAAATTTCTTTCAGCAAAACAGGACTTTGAATTTCCTATTCAAAAGGTTTCTGGACCAAGACCACAGAATGGGAGATCCTTTCAAGTGAAAACTCTACTAAGCCGTTTAGTTCTGATAACTTTGACACCCCGAAAGTATTATAAGCATGCTGTCCATGGGCAAAAGTCTTGGCCCCAGAAGTAGTGAAAGGGGGGGGGAGAACTTGAACCCGCACTTCACGCCTTTCACTATCGCAACGCCCCCTCTTACCCTCTGCAGTGACTCCCTAACCCAACAGACACTGTCTGATCAACAAATTTTCCATCATCATCTGACAGCATATTCCACGCTCGTTTGAGTGGGCGTGAGGTGAAACAAGTGCGTTCCCCAGCTGCCACATTCTTCCCTTTTATGTACAAGAGAGGAACGGGGGGCGGGAGCGCCAATGAGGTTGCAGTGGTTCACGACTGCGCCTATACAACAAGAGTGGACTAGGCGGTTATTGTTCATGCGCTCCCCCACTATGGCCATGAAAGTATAGCGCATTAAACCACATTAGCACCCACGATCATCAGGCTACGCCACGTGTTCTATTTCCAGTGCGAAACCAGTAGCTTTGCAATGTTGTTTGCCAGATTTCTGAGGAATTACCTTTACATGAACAAACGCAGCATTCTCGGGCGTTTCCGATACCTAATTTTTTTTCCTCCGGCTGAGACGAGCAAAAATGAACTCGGCAGTCAGTTTTAGACCCCAAACCCTGTGCCATGCAATGGTAATCCGAGGCTTTTTCCACACATCACTTTCAGTCATGCTGACACAAGGTTAGGCAAGGGTTAAGAAACCTGCCGAATGGCCCAGTAATTACATTGTGGTCTCTTCCGGACTCTCGATATTTCTTAATTACGTTTTCTTTACTGGACTATTCGGTTTAGGTCCATCACGTCAGAGACACAGGTGGGGTAGACTGGCCAAGTGATCCCTCATCGCGCGCCTTGTTGCAGTGATCGGCCCCGTTTCTGGCAAGCGAGTTCTCGTTCCTCCGCGACGGTTAGATTCGTCTAAGAAATCGAAAAACACTGATTATGCATCGCCTTGGCACCCATGATGCCATATGTTAGTCCATATCGCTAATAAAGCCATTACAATTCTGGAAATGGAAGTAAAATGTGTACCACATCACAAAGGGATTGATCAACGGCGGACCTTTATCCTTTATTTGTTTAGTACGTGATATAGACCCCTCTGGAATCATACATCGTTATGACCATGATCGACCTTGTTATTGGAAACTTCACCGCGTAACCAGGACTTTCCATCATAGGTTGACCATCCAAGTACTGATCTGGAATCAGGCTTATCAGTATGACAAGCTTTTCTTCAAGGAAACATTTCCTCCGGAGGAAGGTTGCTGTAGGTGGTTAATGCATTGTGAAACGGAGGAATCTCCGTTTCATATATCCACCTACAGCAACTTCCTAGGCATCTGCATCGTTGAAGGCAAAGATGTCAAACCATAACAAGTCGTCAGCTATAGTATCAGAGTTCAGTTCTGAAACCGGAAATCCCATTGCCACTTGAAATGAGCTTAAAAAAAGAGCGAGCTAGCTGATTGCTAGCAATGAAGTTACAGCCAACGTTTCGCGATGCAGAGGGCGTGTCCACGGAAATCGTGAGAGGCAGTTGGCTGTCACGATTGGATCCATGAACGGGCCCTCCCCAAGTTTGAGATATGGGTAATGTTCAAGTATAAAACGATCCCGTTTATGGTAGACCGAAAATGGATGCCATAATGTGAGGGACAAATTTTGCTCGTGTCACGTTATACAATTAATGAACCAACTGTCATCGTCTCTTGGCACCAGGTATTCTCCTTGGCCACTGCAGCGATCATCACCAACAGTAAAACCCGGAAGACTGTGGCGTTTGGACACCTGAAGAACCAATGCATAAATGATAGCTATAGTTGATTACTTCTACTCCTTAACACTATTCACCTTCGGGAGAAAACATGGTGCAAATTCAACCCCCCCTCCTTGCAAAAAAAAGATTTGACGTAGGTCCTGACCAAAGCTTAGATCTTCCAAAAGAGAATTATTCAACGGTAGCCTAGAGCCCAATAGTTTTGACTTTGGCGCGCTCCTCCAGATCTTCGTTTATTCCAAATGCACAGTTATGTTGATAGTATTAGCGGAGTCAAGCACACGCTGGCTGCCTCGTTATAAGACACTGAGGCGGGGCAACGAGTAGGCTAAAAACAGTACGCGTTATGAAAGATCAGCGTGAACTGTGCCTTCAAAAGCCCGTGAAAAACAAGATTTACACCGTGAATATGTGGGCGGGCGTTCATCGTTTTGTTTAGAATTGAAATTGGAGGCACGCCCCGCGTTCATAAGTGGTGAGTTGCGCTGTCGATTCGAATGAAAAGATGAAAAAATACACAAAAATGAAAAATCAAAAAAGTCGCCTGAAATGCCCTTCTACAGAACCTGGCCGCCTGATCACCCCCACTCTCGGCACCGAAATGGCTGAGAAAGCAAGTGTGGAAAATCGGCATACCAGAATACCTTTAGAAGTCGGTATGGGCGTATGCCGTGGCCAGATCGGGCGTGGGGGTGGCGCCGCGAGCAGTCGTATGCTTTACTACAATATCCTCCATTGCTTGCCGGCATGGAATACCTTACCCAAAAAAGGACGTCTGTATAACGCGTCGGAGGTGCTGTTGAAGTTCCCCCTGCGTCCCATGATTACAAGATCTGTAAAACTCATTTTATGCAATCGGCCAATCAACTCGGAAAGAATACATGTAGACGCCCTCACCTTCAGAAGTGCGAAGTCGTTCTTCGTAGGTGGGATAAACAGACATGCTGCTTTGTTGTCTCCCTTGATGTTGAGGAGGAGCATGCATCGTCGTTGAAGACCCTCTGCATTTGAATGACAGAACGTTCCACAGAAGGAGCGAATCCCGTATGTGAGACAGTTGGGTGGTTCTGCGGTAGAGGGACAAGTTTTTGTCGGAGGCGATAAATGGAAACATTTGCACTGCTGTAGCGTCCAGTTGTGTTTCATTCTGCATATCAGCGAGTTTAAACTGGAGCCGCTGGGGATAAACCGGTTCATAAGGGGGGGGGGGGGGGGGACGGAGGACATTATCGGGCTGCATCTGCTGTACTCGCAGGCGTCGCTTGAAAGTCTAGAATGGAACCGCGTCGAGTTGGGACCAGTTGCTGAGGAGGACGATGAATCCGCCTCGACATAGACGGCTGAAGGTGGGACGTACGCCCTCTCTGGCATTATCACCTGTTGGCGCCTGTCGGTTCGTGGAGGAGGGTCCTGATCGAATATCCTGAAAATGAAGCATTTTCGTTGGGAAATCGAATGAGAGAGCATCAGGTAACCGTCGAGATGCCATAAGTGAAGAATAACGCCAAAAATCGAGTAACCGATTCTGGTTCGTTCATAAGCAACATGGGCGCCTGATCGTTTGGGCGGCGGCTACCTTCAGACTTTTTTCATCACTTCGTCCTGTTCTTGCCTCCAAGCACGACGCCCCACACTACCCACTTGTCGAAGTGACCCCGCCCATACGATCAGCGTGTAATATGCCTGCAACGGGGACGAGCGACTGCCGTCGGATCTGAGAAACTATTAGAGTTATAGCAAAAAAAAACTTACTCATTTAATCTCAAACTCATGAGAGATGGGACAGAGCTGGCGTTTGACGGACTGTGAGATGGTTGAATAGACGGTGTGGAACTGCAGTTCAGTGGGCTTTGTCGAGGACTTTCATCTTCGACAGTAGTTGAGGAAATCTCACTAATAAACGAAAGACCGTCATCAGCGTCAATGTTCGGCGAACGTGGCAGTTTGGATGGCTAAAATACACGAGATGCTAAATTTGCCAATTTCCATATTTCCATAGGTGACATAATTACGGTAATACTGCGGAAATATAAGTGGACAGATCCCTTTAATGTGATGAATTAAATATCATTAATCACATTAAAGGCAGTTGGCACGATAAATCCCCCAAGACGACTAGGATCAATACTCCTGGCAGGATAGAATTCCGCGACCCTGGGCAGGCGCTGCATAGCGGTTTCCCGAGGAAGGTGCCCTTATAAGGGCCCTATCAAGCCACAACTTTACGTCCCAAACGCCCGCCCGCCCACAAATGGACGACCGTTCCTGACGCTCTAATCGATTCATTTGCTAAGCAAATTATGAAGCGAAGGGATTGGTATGAAGCGGCCGTGATGCTGCATGCATACATGGGTACACATATGCAGCCGTATCTTCGGTAGCGGTGATTGGTAAGATGCCTACGGGAAACTCGTCCGAAATCGATTTACAAGTCACTGAGAACGGAGGCTTTTTCTTCGCAGGATTTTGACCGTTTCACTCCGTTCTTTCGCCATTTCCCCACTAGCATTTTAGGCTAAGTAGGAAACCATCGTGCCAACTGCCTTTGAAGGGATCTGTCCGTTTTTTGAGGGAAGTTGGCGCGGTGTCAGGAGGCATGAACTGAGGTCCCCGCACCACGGAAAAGGCATAGGCCGTACAGCAAGTATGTCAAAAGGGTACAACAGCCCACATTGATCAGTTCCTTCAGAATAGGCCACTCATTCTGCTTCCAGTCCGACCCTAACTCTAGAAAATTCGCCGGCACTTCGAAGGCATATGGCACGAAAATTTGGCACACGGTCTAAAATGCTAGCAGGGTGCTATAAAGCGGGAAAATGGGGGGAACGAAGTGAAACGGTCAAAAACCTGCGAAGAAAAGCCTTCGTTCTCCTTGTAAAGGCACCTTACTGGGAAAATGCGCTGTGCAGTGCCTGCTTGACGTTGGCGGAATTCAGTCCTGCCAGGCGTACTAACCTTACTCGTCTTAGAGAATTGTCGTGCCAACTGCCTCTAAACAGTTTACGGGACCCGATTATGGCCCAAGTCATTAGCGCAATTGTCCGGGTGGTTGGGAGATCCGTGTTACGTTGATGTGCACAAACTAGATAGCATTTTTTTTTGATAGTCGACTCGATGAGTGTATAGTCCTCATCATTGCGGACCGGTGGGGCGTGTCAGCCAGAAGGAGTGCGCACACTGTTGAAGCCGTTCTCAGCCTTTTTTGTTGCAACGCGTATGCGACAAAAAGTGGTAGAAAACGAGTAATACGAAGGATATAATACAGTAATGTCACTTGCCCGCTTCAACAACTGGTGCAGAACGACTTCATCACCGCGGAAGACGGAGCCGCACTGACACGCCCCACCGGTCCGCAATGATGAGGACTGTATGTACTTTTCACTTCGAACCGATCAGGCTCTGAAGGGAATCACCCAAATCCTATTGCAACGCCGTTTTCGCTGAAACGTTCATCACTTTCAGTCGACACTGGACCAAATGAGTTTGTCCAGGTGTAGTGTGGCGAAATTTTGTCCTTTGGAGGTGAGGCGCAGTGGGAAGGGGTAGGTACTGATGGCAAAACTCCGCTATTCAGTTCACAAAATAGTGTTTGCTAACTGACCTTTCCTGGTTTCTTTTGAGAGCAGGCCGCAACTCACTGAGAACATCAAAAGGTCTGACTGAGCTCGGCTTTTACAGTTTTTGAAATCACTTGAGGCATGCTTCGCGACAGCCGCATAGGCGGAAATACAGGAGCGATATACCGTCTCCACTGCTGCGCCCCTCCTCCATTCTTGAACGGTGACGAGAAGGTGAGCGTGATGGAGAAGATCTCTCTCCGCCCATACTCCCAGCACGGAATGTGCTCTCAACTATTGTTGACTTGTTGAAGGCAATGCTTACAGATCTATTACAGTTTTGAAGTTATATCTAAGTTTTGAAAATTTATGGATCAGCTGGTGGACAAATTTACTTGAAGACTTGTCGTATTCAATAACTTGAACTTGAATTACCTGAAGCTCATCATCTGAGACAAGCGAATATCCATCGATTGCATCTATATCTTCAGATGTATCCTGAGAAGTGCTTGCAGTTGAGGGCTGGGCTAACGGAGTCACAGGGCGGCCAGGAAGAGCCTGGGCATCCGGAGTCACTGTTCGAGCAGGACGAGACGGTGGACGTGCTCCAACTGTCGGTGGTGACGTCTGTATCTGTCGCTCTCGTCGAGTAATCGGATCCGGGGAAACAGGACACATCGCAGGCTGGAAAAGGCTATCAAATGCACTGAAGGACTCTGACTGGAACAACAAAAATTACTGACCTGTTTACTAAAGACCAAACAGTTCAATAAATCGTCTTCACCATAGTTCACTGAAAAAAAACTGGTGTTGAAAAAATAAAGCTCGCTGTTAGAACTAAATTTTCCAGCACTTACACTCGTAAAGCATCAACTCCGTGCATTTTGTGACTGCATTCTCAAGCTGGCTGAATTCTTCGAAGCTTTTCGTATCGATACCGACTTCATGAAGAGGCTGGAAGTTCTGCATCATGTCGGTAGCATAGTACTAGCAAGGCGGTTTGCTCATAGATCGTTGAGGTGTGCCACTATGCCTCTGGGTCCCTTCCCCTGACTAAGGCCTATGTTTCGAGAGCAGACGACCAGAGTCACAGCGAATACGTCTCGCAGAAAAGGCACAGTCTTAACCATGCTTAAAGCTGCTCGTGCAAGATGAATAGATCCCCAGCTGCAACCTTGTCCGCAGTGCCCAGCTACCGGGCTGTAGGGAAGTGGTAACGAGTGCCGCTTCAATATTCCACACGCGCCACCTTTAAGGCTCAGCGCTTGCGTCGATTCAATGGTCTTACAGTGAAACTCACACTTATGACAGATGTAGATAACTCCCGGAAGACAGAGGGCGCAGGTAAGTAGCGCGCGGCTATGGTTGGGCGTGTGGCTGGCCGCGCGGCCGGACACCCAAGTAACTACCCTTCATCACGTTCCGTGCACTTTTGAGAGGTGGCACGCTATTGCAGCTGTGGACCCATTCTTCCCCACAGGGCAAGGAACAGGATCCAAGCTGATGAGTGTATAGTTTGTCTTTCAGCCTTGGCTTGGGGAAGGAACACAGAAACGTGGCTCAGGAGCACCATTCAACTATGCCAGTGCCCATATAGGGATGCATTCATACTTTGCGACAGCGTCCACTAGCGTTTCGAGCGTCGAGCAGCGTCAGCGATTTGGAAAGTATAGGTATCGATCCAGCTTGTGCTAGCGTGCACCTGTGTCTCCTAGCCAGGGCACGCCATCGTTGTGATGATCACAACAGGAGGTCGTATTTGACGTTGAAAATGATAGTCAGTTCCTAACGCTCCCCCCCCCCTCCCGACAGCAAAATTTTAGGGATAAATCAAATCAGAAAGTTTTCCGGAAGAATCGGGAAAGCTGATACGAGGTAGGGAAAGTCTCGGAAATTTTCCTGTTTCACATTGGCCTCCCCCACCTCCGCCCCGCTCGAGGCCAAATTCTTGGCTGAAAAACTGGAGAATTTTCCGACAAAAAATGGCAAAAGTGGAATGGTAGGAAGTTGGGAAAATATATTCAGGAAAGTGGTAGGTAGCATGGGAGGGAGGATGGGGGTCGTATTTGAGGATGGAATTAGGGGAGGGGCGTATTTTTCAGGAACTCCACCGTTGCCGGTCCCAAGTCGTGTGTTAGAACGAATGACGGCTATACACCATTCTTTGAAATTGCCACTGGAGTACGACAGGGATGCATTCTGTCTCCGATTCTGTTCAATGTATGCCTCGACTTTGTTATGAGAAGAGCGATGGGAAACACAGAAGCGGGCATCAATTGGCCTGTTCAAGGCCGTCTCACAGATCTGGACTTTGCCGACGACATTGCGTTGATTGCTGAGGATAATGATAAACTTCAAGACAGCACCACGAGACTCAGTAAGGAAGCAAGCATGGTTGGCTTGCGAATAAGTGCTGAGAAGTCGAAGGTCATGCACGTAGGAATGAACGGGCAGGTGGATGTAAACGTTGACACTGCGTCGCTAGAGAATGTCGACACGTTCACTTACCTCGGTAGCGTGGTCACGCACACTGGTGATGCTGAAGCGGATGTCCGGGCTCGACTTGCAAAAGCTGCTGCTGTGTTCAGGCGACTGCTGCCGATATGGAAAATGTCCTCAATATCGCGTAGCATTAAAATGAAACTTTACTCGTCCATCGTTATTCCCACAGCACTCTATGCAAGCGAAACATGGAAAGTGTCTGCCAAAGCTCGCCAAAAAATGAACGCCTTCCACCAGCGATGTCTTCGGCGAATCATGAAGATACGATACATGGACCGGGTCACGAATGAGGAAGTTCTACGACGGTGCGGTATGAGCAGCCTTCACGTGATTGTGGCACGGCGTAGGCTTCGACTGGCTGGCCACATATTGCGCACGCCACAACATCAAAAATTCGCAAAAGTTGGGCCATGTTTTGGATTCCTCCAGGAGCCAAGCGAGCACGAGGCCGTCCCAGAAACACGTGGAGACGTACATTCGAAAATGACTTGCGAATCATGAAGATGCTTCTATCCAGGCCGAGGAAATCGCGCAAGACCGACAACAGTGGAAAGATTTCGTCGCCCAATGTGCTCAACAGCACGGGAGGAACTAAGTCTAAGTAAGTATTTTTCAGGAAATGATCACAACGTGATGGCGAGTCTTGCTCCCAGCGTCGGCTAGCAGGCGCCGACTCAAGCGGTAGATAGTAATAGCGAGATAGAAGAGGATCAATCTGCTTGGTAGAGAGTTAGTGCCGCGATAGGAGGCTGCACACACTGCCATACTCTCCCGTCACAGACGCAGCGGAGTGCTGGGCCACACATGGTAGACAGCTTGCAGGCGCTCAAAATCGATATCGTAATACTTCCGCTCAGTCGCTGAAGCGCCGCTGCACTAAGAGCAGGGCACAGCATTGGTTGGGGAATCCCCATGGGGGGGGTCGTATTTGGCCGCCAGGAGAGGGGGGTCGTAATGAGTGCGGTAGCCAGTATCGAGCAGCGCAAAGGTGTCAGTGTGCTGAATCCTGTGTAGCGGAACTTGCTTCGTAGAGAACTCGGATATGTAAAAAATGAGTACAAAACTTTCATCATCAAACTAATCCGAAATAATTGGAATTATTAATAAGTCGACAACATCTCGTAAGTGATTAAACACTACAACTCATACTCTGGTTTGCTGCGGATGATGGGGCGTGTCCGCGATCACGCTTGGCGCTGAGCCAACCTGTTTTTTTTCTGACAAACGACAGGACTACCATATCGTTCGTACCAGACGTTTTCCAGCACTTGGTCTCCTTTATCGGAATCAGCAATCTACGAAGGCAGCAGATCTGGCGGCGTCGACACGGACACGCTACATCATCCGCAAGGGAAAACACTGTAGACAAGTGCACAGGTTCGCCATGGACCTCCCTGAATCCTACAGACACATTTGCGCGCGTGGACACACATTATGCACAAGTTGCACCATCCCATCACTTCTGCGCGGACCTCAGTGCGCGGCGCATACAAAGTCAGCGTGATCGGCGCTAAACGAACCATATCCTGCTCCTGCTCCACCACAGGATACGTTCATTAGCGTAGGGTGGAACATGCGTTCCTGGCTAATCGAACTACGCCACTTTGAAACGGTGCACAGGAACGGTTTTCGCGCGGCTGGGAGTGCTCCCTAAGAAATCCCCATCGCGAGATCTCATGAATCCCGAGAGCTTCAGGAACAGTTCAATAGGTTTTTAGAAAGAGAAAATCTTGAGAAGCTCGGATCCGTTCTCAGATTTGTGAAATGTTGAGTTACAAAAAAAATATATTGATTCAAACCTGTTCAACTTGAAGCTTCAACCCTTCACTCCCCAACAAACGAATCCCTATGGCAGATTTCTCTGTGATTTTCGCGACCTTCATAAACATTTTAGTACTTTCAGGAAGACCAAACCTTCTAATTTACCAATACGCTCTCCTCTTCCCCACAGGTCCGCTTTTGAGGAAGTTATGGTCCTTCAAAGACACCCTACTTTGCTGAAAATTCTCGCTCCATGGCTAATAGCCGTTTGCTCACGGCTGCAATTGCAGTAAGCGCATACTCTGGCTACCGTACCCACATCTCGCGTTAATGCATTTTTAGGCGTATTTCTTTTTGTTTTCTTTTTCTGTTATACCGCTTTTTTTTTGTTTTAATCATAGTCTCATTTAACTCGCATTTATGCTGTGTTTATGCTACTCATCGTGTTTTTGATTACAAACGCTTGCACATAAGTAAATCAAGTCAATTTAGGTAGGACTGTTTATATCTATTTTTTATATCTAATTGTTTATATCTAATTTCAGGAATTATGTGACGTCAAACAGTAAAAAGGGGGGGTCGTACCGAACCCCCAAAAAGGGGGGGGGTCGTACAGGCTCTGACCAAAATCCCCATCGAATGCTGTGCCCTGTGACCA